CCGCTAGCGCGGGAACTCGGCTGGCAAACTCGCGCTCTGATTGGTCGCGGTTTTTCGTTAATATCTCGGTAACGAAGCCTCAGTTTACATTGTTGCTAAGGAAAAAGTTGTTCCAATTCAACCCCCGGGTGCCCCATTTCCGGGTCGGAAGACATTTTTGGGACACCCTGTATATGGTCTAAGGGAGTTTCCATCCCCTGGCAAGGATTTCGTCGATGGCAGCAACATATTACAGGCAATCCGCGGATGGTCGCACTGCAGAAGACAAGAGAGAGTTTTATAATGTCCAGACTCGCACATCCTCGGCATCGTGACCAAGTGGCCCCGAGTGATGTGTGAAAAAGAAATACAGATGTTGCTCTAAGAATATCCAAAACACTTTCCAATGCAGCTTTTCCTTTCCAAAAGGTATTGACCATGAAAGAATAGGGATCGACCTATTACGGAACATCGATTCTAACGATGGAGGATCAGAGATTAGAGGCTTTCACGGCCCGGCATCATATAGTTCTCACTGTTGAGGCTTTCGGGTGTAAGTTGTGTCCTTGCGGAATTGTTTTCCCAACGTTTCGCAAGCACTGCAGCTAGCTTCATCAGGAGGTCGAAGACACAGGGACTGTGGGAGGATCACTTCAACAATATCAGTTGCCCTGTACGAACGGAGCCCTTTCCCTTCTTCGAGCAAATAGAATTCACGTTCGGAAAACTAAGTTTTCGTTTATTTAGCGATTATGTAGTGATCATTTAGTGATGTAGCGTACGTCGTTGTTTTATAACAACTATTTATATAGTGCAAATTAATTAGTGTAAGTTTTATTAATTATTGTAAGTTTTATTAACCATTGTAGATTTTATGAATTATTGCAGGTTTTATTAAATATTGTAAATTTTATTAATTATTGCAGGTTTTATTAAATATTGTAAATGTTATTAATTATTGCAGGTTTTATTAAATATTGGAGGTTTTATTAACTATTGCAGGTTACAAATTAATATAAATAGTTGTTATAAAGTCATTATTGTACGTTAAACATTAATATGAATAGTAGTTATAAATTAATTATTTTGAGTGTTTTGTGTAACGTGTACAGTGGTAAACGCAACGGAGGAACCGCGCGCGGGTCTAATTAATCGCGCAATGTGTGAACACTTTTCGCGGTTGGCACAATCGCACAGTGTGTGTGGACATTTTTCGCGGACTTCTGTGGCCTACATGCATCTGCGGAATAATTTCATGAATACTCGTGGACAGGACAATTACTGTACGTGACAACCAGAGGGGGTATTAAGCCTGTCTATTCGGTAATATTCATAAGATATTTACATTTCTTGAGAATTTTATCTAGTAATCAGAGTTAATGCGATACAAGTGAATTCGACTCAAATACCGCGGTCCCAAGTTATCAACATCTTCTACCGGGTAAGTAGACAGCTGTTCTACCTACTTTTCCTACACGTCGTTGAGTCTTTAGTGACTGTACGCCCCTTACGAACCCTGCCCCGCTGACACTCTATGCGTGCAGATTGCCATCATTTGAATTAATTTTTAAACTCTTATAACTAACAAACGAAGCATTTGTCACAATTTCGTTATTCTTCATTTTTGTCTTATTCTGCCCCAAAGCATCACCCCTTAAATTTTTTCTCACTAGTAGTCGAACACCCTGTATATGTATGTCCATGTCTACCAACTCCCATAACATGAACGGTCTATTCTTAATATTCTTATACGTACCTCGGTCCTACTAAAAATAAATATTTTTGGTTCAAACATTTTTTTCATATTTTGCACAGTTGAGATATATGACGAAAAATGACTTTTGTAACAAGATATTTGAGACGGATATAAAACACATACAAACTAGTACATGAATTAGGAAATTATTTTTCACGTTTCAAAATGTTGTTCATTTACTTGTAAACACATATTGATTCTTCTTTTAAAAATTACCATTTATATTTTCATAGAATTCATAAAGCAAGCAATTCTTCTTACAAGACATTTTTCATCTTATCTTCTCAAGTACGCAATATATTTATTTTTAGTAAAATTATCCAACTGTACAATAATTTATCCTATTAACAAAATTTGGGATTAGCCACTCTTTCGGCATGGGAGGAGATAGTAAAACTGTACCTTATAAATCCTGTTAAATGCCATATTACACAAATGAATTTGAAAAAAAATGTTACCTACAATAGTTTACAAAAAAAAACAACTTGTAACACTTCTAGCAGTACATTCTATGTATCAAAAATATATTTAATATTCCAATATGTGTACAATATAGATTTAAAATAACATAATACAAAAACAATTTTACAACATAATTATTGTTTAGTAAACCACTCAATGTTGGAACATAACTATATGTATAATGAGTTTATTTGATATGATATATATATTTGCAAGCTGAAATAATTTTTACAGCTATTATAATATATAAAAGTAAACTGTTTGTAACTTCAGACAAAATTATAAATTGGTTCTCTTACTTGCACAATACAATTACGTAATAACACAAATATTCAAATTAGATGTACTGAATTAGGACATCTTAAGTAGAAAAAAATACATAAGTTTAAGTTGTTTTAAAGTGATCATCTGTGCTTGTTGTATATATGTGACCTTCAGAAACTAGAAAATCTAATATATTATCTACTTCTGACAAAATTCTTGGTGGTACTTGCCCTTTTATTTCAGCTCTTTCAATACCAGATTCTGTATCTATTTTTGCATTTATAATTTTATAAACTAAAGATTGGTCTCCTGTCATTCCGTAATGAGGAACATCTTCATTTGCCCCTTTATCAACTGTACTACCATTTTGATGATTTATTAATTCTTTATTCTTTTTTGCCATTGCTTCAGCTTTCAATGTAGCAAAAGTAACCTCAAGTATATGATTTGTTAACTCGTTTAAATCTTGTAATGGCCACATGCGTAAAATAAGGATATGACGTTCATCATTTTGTTCTCTAAGTAATCCTACAATGCGAACATATGTGTTCATCAGAATAGTCACGTCTGATGCTTTTTTATCTGCTTCTAACCATTTCAGCGCAGTTATTGTACCTAAATACATGAACAGAAGAACATATTAGATAAACAAAAAAGTAAACTACATGTATGAAAACATAACTAGACTAAATAAAATTTAATGAGGCTTTTATTTTACTTGAACTTAATAAAACTTCTAAACATTTGTATAAACATTTACTATAGTTTAAAATAATCGTGTACGCTACAAACGCATAAAATTTTCAATCTAATAAAAAAAGTTTTAAATCAAATCAAACCTGTTTGGTCTTCAACATCGTAGGATATTTTCGTCGCCGTTTCTTGAACGTTTCGTACTATTCCAAGAAATGTAAACATACGCGCAGAAATATCCCAGAATTTTGTCTCGTCGGTAGAAGAAGCAGAAAGTAAATGTCCTATCATGACAGGAACAATAGTTTGTACTCTTCGTATTTTTACATTGTCTTGTTCACCTTTGCGACTATTATCCAGAAAGCCGCCTCCAAAGTCTGCACTAGTATCTGAATTTGACGACCACATGCCAAGACCTATGTAGTGAAATCAAATCGACGAGTCCTTTGGTCTTCGATTATGGTCAGTTATGGTGAATGGTGGGTTATGGGCGGTTGTGGGCTATATGGGCAGTTATGGGAAACAATGGGAAACAATAGTTGCGTTCAGCGTGGTTCAGCCACTGATAGGGAGGAATCAATACCGCCAAGGTATCAAGACTTTTAAGCCCGCAACACACGGTGCTTGTTTTCTTGCTGGATCACTTGCTTGGAGCTGTGCATGCTGCCCTGCAGGGAGCGGTGCTGGCAAATAACCTTATGGGGACTTGTTTGTAGTTTTGCGCGCCAATTTTGAAGGTTGAAGTTTGTTACTAGTTTATTGATTATTGTTAGATGTTCAGTTTTTATGTTTAATTTATCGTTGCTAAGTTTTGTAAATAATATTATTAATAAATTGATTATCATTGAATATAGACGTGATTTATACTTACTTTGGTATTACTGTATTAGATTGGCACTGCCACGCCATTCCCCTAGGCACGCGCCTAGGGAATTCGCTCCGACGAGGTTGGCAGGGCCAATTCTGATTGGTGGAGAAACCTAACAGTTCTTTACACGCGACACATAATCTGTATATTTTATATTAACAACATCAAAACAAAAATGCGAGTTATATCGTATAAAATGAAGAAATAATTAAAAACAATGAAGAATAATGAATAAATTAATGATTACAAATTATAATCTACATGTTACCTAGCAAATCATTTTTTTAGAATTTCTTGTTTTTTCTACTGATTTTTAGAAACACGAATAGTAATGTAATTATCGTAAAATCATATTGAATACGTTTTTCTGTTTAAAGATCAAGGACTTACGAGCGTAGTGAGCAAATTCATTCAAGATAAAAAAACCGCAATCACAGTCGTGAATAGTGTGTTGCGGCCTTTTCCAGGGATTTCTTTTAAAAGAGATAAATCAGGCGTGAATCCCCAGGCCCGTGGAGCCCTGAAGAACTCTGCTCGTTAGGAAATTTTAGACTTCTTTTAAAGGAGACAACTTTAATTTGAAGAACACGTCTTTATTTATCGAGGATCAATACTGGAATGGACTCCTTTACAAAACGATCGTTTTTGTTACATCTTGTTAATTACAATATGTCCTTAGATACCAGGAGCCAATAAAATAATTATTAAATTATGAAATAATTCCTGATTTGTTAATACATTTCTTTCAGCTATTCATTTTATAATTTTCAAGTGTTTAACATATTTGCCATGATTTAATATATTTTAGAGAAGGAGTAAAAGCGAAATTCGACTGTTAAAATATA